ACACCTTGCTACGTGTACTGCGTTAGGCTAACCGAGACTTGTCATTTGCACTTATATATTGTTGCTCTTTTGTTAGTTTTGACTGCTTTTATTGTCCTCATTTGTAAGTCGCTTTGGATAAAAGCATCTGCTAAATGACTAAATGTAAATGTAAATGAAATGAGGTGGAATAGCATGCAGGATTGCAATTCAAATTTAAATGTAAGGAGGTACAGAATAAAAAATTAATTGAAATTCAAAGAAATACATATAACTGTCATTTTTAAATAGAAAAGTTTGTCAAGACAATTTTGAATGCCGAATTGATTAAGTACTGTTGTATTGAAAAAAGCTTAAAAACCTTGAAACTTGAAGTTGTAAAGGCCTAAAAGACAAAGAAAAAATAAATAGAACAACAGACAGAGCAACAGCTGTGCAGATAAAATGAAGTTAGAACAATAGACAAAACAGTCAGAACAACTGAATGATCAAATTAAACTAGATAGATAGATAGATAGATTATTTTACGTTATTATATTTAGAAGTTGAGGTTCTAAAAACATGCTATAATAACCATTATATAAGACCTAAAAGTCAATGCTGTGACCACCACTGATGAAGGTCTGACCTCCATCTGTGAGATAGATTGGCTTCCATTCTTTGACATCCTCCTGGCTATGACCGAAGCGCATGCTTTGATTATTTCCATCGGTTTCTCTTTGTTATTTGTCCTCACACTACCCAATTTCCTCTCTGTTCTTCTTACAAGTGATCTTAACTTTGCAAAGCAAAGGGTACCTCTAAAATGAAAGGGCATTCTTTCTTTTGTGCTGTTATCACCTTGGGTCACAAACTGAAAGACAACAATACCCCTCTGATCAAATATGGTGTTCGTGTGGTCATTATTAAAAGCTGTGGCTCTGAATAAAATTTTAATTGAATTTTTGTTCTGCTCAGTGTCACTAACACTTCAAATATTTGCATTGTTCTATCAGCACAAGTGTAAAAAACACAAAAAACAACTAGAAATGTGTTTGGTCTATACATGTGTATAGACCAAATCTAGCAGAATAACATCAGTCCTACATCCGCGGGTGCAGAGTTTCAGGTGTGCTTTCTGTGCTGGTTTCAGGTCAGATATCAAGTGCGACAGAACCCTGGGAGACTTTGAATACAGAACGTCCACACACATTCATAATCACATGCAAATGTCAATGCACACTTCATTCTGTCACATGCTTGGAAAGACCTTTCATTTCTGAAAGAAAAAAGAGATAACAGTGCCGTTAGACTCTTTTTTATGTTATTTTCTGTGGTAATCTGAGCAAGCCAGAGATGCTGCCAATAGTGTTTTTTTTTTCATTATAGTTTACAGGTCAGTACAATCTAGTAAACACTACGTTCCAAATTAAACCTGGAATAAAGGTCATCCAAATATACACTCATCTGCCACAATATTATAACCACCAGACCAGCAGATCCTTTAAGTCCAGCAAGTTGCATTCTAGGGAATTTGGAGGCCAAGGCTTAGTCATGTTCCTCAAACAATTCCTGAACAATTTTTGCAGTGTGACAGGGTGCATTATCCTGCTGGAAGAGGCCACTATCATCAGAGAAAAATGGATAAGTGAAAAGATCTGAGTGAGATCTGAGCGCCAAATAGTGACGGATGACTAGGTTAGCGCATCTCCAAAACGTTAAGTAGTGAGGTTTTCATGGTATGCAATGGTTACTACCTACAAAAAGTGCTGCAAAGAAGGACAATCTGTGAACCGGCATCCAGGTCATGGGTACCAGAGAACACCATCACCAGGGTGTATGTGGTCTGCAACAATCTTTAGGTAGGTGGTACATGTTGTAGGCGGCACATGAATGGCAGGACAGGTGTCATTATGGGCACTCTGATTGGTCTGTGGCTGCACAGCCCCACACGCAGCAAACTGCAACACACTGTGTGTGTTCTGACACCTTTCTATCATGACATTCTTTTTTTTTTTAGCAATTTGAGCTACAGGTCTTCTTTGTCATTGAACCAGCCCACATGTATCAATGAGTCTTCAGCACCCATAACCCTGACACTGGTTCAGTGGTTGTCCTTCTTTGCACCACTTTTGGTAGGTACAATCCAGATGCTCTGACCCAGTAGTCTAGCCATCACTATTTAGTCCTAGCCATCACTCAGATCTCCATGCACATTTTTCTAGCTTCCAAAACATGAAATTCAAGAACTGACTCATTTTTTAATTATGCCTAATTCACGATCTCACTAATCATGGTCTCTACTACAGTTACTGTAACTCTGGATTCAAGAATTATATTAGCTTTCCATTAGAGCAACTACAAAGGATATTTTAATGGTTCTAATAAACTAAGCCTGTAATATAATGGAATATTAATATTGTTAAATGCCTTTGCAGTATATTTGAAAATCGCTATTATTATTTGTTTCCATCCTTCATTTATTTATAAGTGTATGGATAGAAAAGAGCAACTAGTACCATATTTAAAGCTGTTAAAATTCTCTGCATTTATGCTCCATGGAAGAAAGAATGTCAAACAGACATGGACCAACTTGAATTTTAATTTCTGAGTGAACTATATTCCTTTACTACAAAAATACAAACAAACAAACAAAAAAACACTGAATTGTTAAGCTTTGGACGTTAATGGGTTTTAAGATGACTGGTATCCTATGGCAGAGCACAGTGAGTCATGTGTGCATGAAGAAATCAAAGATAAGAGCCTGTCGCATAAGCTCAACTGCTTCCATACAGGTGTTGAGAAAAAGAGCCATGGTGAGGCTACACTGGCACCTCAGCTTCGCCTCAATGTGCTTGTATGTGTGGGGTGATATATTCCAGCCGGATCACCACAACGAAAAGTGGAACTATTGTGAAGGACACTTTTACAAGGGATGGACCCATCTTCGACTGCTTCTTAAAAAAGCATCTGTGGACTTCTGTTGTAAATGCCATGAAGAGAAATGCATTTCCATTGCTATTTTTCCAACTTTAAGACATGTGCCAGTTTTTTGGGCATATAAAATAAGCCATAAAGGGGTCCCTGATTTGTCAGAGCACAATCTGTTGAAGAATATTACGACTTGGTATATATCACCATCGGTAAGATCTTGCATTTTATCCTTTGATACTGTCTATTGAATAATAAAAATAGCATGAAGTCTTTTCTGACTACACCATTCTGGAGTTTAAGTGCACCTGTGGACATTAAAATAAATTATTCACCTGACTTTATTCATGACTTTACAACTCTGTTTGTGTTCCATGTGAGCAAGATTTGGGTGTTCTATTCTTTTAAGCATATACTTTTTTTTCTCTCTCGCAACAAAGTGTTTTCTATAAACAGTTTATTTAAAATATCTGTCATTTGACAGATTAAATCATAAAGTCAACATTTTATCCAATTTGCATATTTAACGTGAAATTCAAAGCAGGATCAAGTGACCAAAAAGAAACCTTTGATATCCTTGCTCACTGAATATTTCATAATGAATGAATTATTAATTTAATATTTAATACACTCTAGAATTATTTAAGCATAATCTTTGTTAAACAAAGCTTAAAATAAGACTTTTATTTTAAATTCACATTTATTACTTCTGCCATTGTTCTTTTTGTTCCTGACAGGTTGTTGAGGATCTGCTCAGAGAAAAGTTGCATTCACTCCCATCTCAAGTGACCTCAAGACCCTCCCTATCAACAACATATATTTTAAGTGGTGTGTTTCATCTCAATGCGAAATACATTCACAAAGAGGGAAACTGGCACAACTCAGGCTACATTCACTGGATCACGTATCACCACACAAATGTGAAGGGGCTTAGTTTTGAAGGAGCACTTGTCCAAAACAGTCAGGAGAAATGTAAGTGGAAATGGCTGATGGTGAAGCAACTGGTTGGGATTCTTTCTGAAGTCTTTTCGGTCAAACCCATGCAAACCTTCTTCAGTCATCAAAACATGGGACCTTTAAACCTGAACGGCTTAGATGAAATTCCAGGCAGCTTTTCTGTTGGTGAAAAGATAGATGAATACCTGCCATGTGTGATGACAACAACAATGCTAGTCAAAGAAGCAAAACGTGACTTTTCCAAAGTGACAGCAAGCAGCAAACCTGTGCTAACTTCAGATATGATTGCAGGCCTGTGCTCTGTGCTCATTCACCGTACTAGCACCGGTTTGAAGAGATGTCTTGAGAGGATGACATTAGACAAAGAAAACTACACCACCTTTTCACAGCTCTCGTATTTCCCTGCTAGCAACAAACCAATTAATGCCAGATCAGACCTCCAAAAACAGAGCCCTCTTCAACTAAATGAAATCATTAATCAAAGTAAATATACCA